TTGTGAGTGGTTGCCTTATATAAATATTTCAGTCTTAACAAGAATTAAGCCACAATAAAAACTGAATGTGTCATTTGATGGCATCTACATGTACATGTTTATCCACTGTATGTAGTACGATACAACGTAACTATGAATGTCTATAGTTAGTCTTCAGTGCCTATATTGTTTCTATCTAGGTGGTGTATTATTGTGATGGAAACCTTGGAGTAACATTTCTTAGTGCTTTGAGAAAGATTAACATGCAGGCAAGCGAGAAAAGAAAAGCTATGTTGTCAAAAGAGTCATAAAATTATATTTGTCTCTTAGTTACATTGTCATATATTTTATATCAATAAAGATTTAGAAATGCAAAGACTAGCAAAAACTAACGATAAAAACCGACGTTTCGGTGTCATCATGACACCATTGTCAAGGAGAAATAAAAAATAAAGTTTGTGGCAAGGTGTAACACTAAATTAGCATAAATATGTTACAAGCTAATTAAACAAATACTTTTGAGCGAATTGAATCGCTTTGCATGTTCAGAGTGGGTTTTAAATGCTTTTCATCAGAGACTTAAAACCCACTCTGAACGTGCAAAGCGATTCAATTCGCGCAAAAGTATTTGTTTAATTAGCTTGTAACATATTTATGCCAATTTAGTGTTACACCTTGCCACAAATTTTATTTTTTATTTCTCCTTGACAATGGCGTCGTGATGACACTGAAATGTCGGTTTTTATCGTTAGTTTTTGCTAGTCTTTGCATTTCAAGGAATTGACTCTCAAAATAAGGGAAAAATCCTTGTTTTGAGTATCCACTGATTTACAATAAGAATTCCGAAAAACATAAACTTTAGAGTGGTGTGAACATCCTTGTACTTGTTTTCATCCTCATGCTAATAACTATCTCAGAACTGCGAGACAGGCTTCAAGCGCAGTACTCAGTTGCAACACAAGCATAGGCATAAACATAACAAGCTAATGCTCAGGTGCATGGGCACAGCTACAACATAAACATGAGCACAAGCGCTCAGGCGATGTTATGTTAACTAGGGACATGGTTGGTATAAGCAGTATAGTGCTTGCTGATTGCCTGAAAGTCTTTCACTTATGTTAATCCTTATGCTTATGCCAACCAAGTCTTAACTAGACAGTATAAGCATAAAAAGAAGGCAACGTCTTGATAATCATATGCATATATGCTTATCCTTATGTCCGTGCGTTCCATCCAGCACATAAGCTCTTACATGCCTATCCCTATGCTTGCATCGCAAGTAAATACTCAGCTCAATATTGGATCAATAGTTTTATGATAAACAAAACAGCACCCTTTTGAACTTTCATTCCACAAACCTTTACAGTAAAATCTAGAACAGTGATTGTCTTTCATGAAATCCTAATCAGGCCATATTTTCTGTCTTTGAGGCCTAATTTAGTTTCACATCGTGTTCCTCATAATGCTAATTTACCAGTCTAACGATTCATACCCTAGTATGGAAATCATACACCCATTTCTATTGACCACACAAATTACATTGGCTTATCCAATTCACGAGTTGGCTCACAGAGCCTTTGATTTTAAATATTTTGGTTGTTTTTCAATTTCTTTTAAAACAAATTTGGAATTTTGGAATTTGAAAATGATTAAAAGTTTGCAAAAATTCACCAAATTAGTCTCCGGTACCACCTTAAACTGACAAATAGTGAAGTGAACTGGATGGAAAAGTTATATATTCATGATCACTACACATATTGATTTTTTACTTGTTATGTTTTGACAGGGAAGCTATCTTGCCCACACCCAAGGAAAAAAACATCAATCAAACTTGTAAGGATTCATGTAAACTAATTAACTAGTGTAGGTACATTCAGAATGTAGGAAGAATGGCTGTATGCTTGACTGCTTGAATAATTGCTGATATACATGTAGCAATACACCTAAATTAATTATTCTTAGAATAACATTGATGACTTAATTCCCTAGGGCTCGTCGAGCTGCAAAAGAAGCAAAAGAGGCACCAGCTCAACCAGCACCTGTGAGTACTAATTAAGTACATTTTAATTTAACAAAGTTATTAAACAACAACTGCATTTGAAGACCTTTATAGCCATGTTTATTCATTTCCGTGTGATGCTTGATGCAGCAATGAAAAAGTTACTATTTCTATTGCATGTATTCTGATTGTATTAGTTTGATTTATTGCCAGAAATTTACTTTCTTGTGTAATAAAAGAATGCTCCATGTCACCTTTAAATAAACTGTAATTTTCATTTTAACTTCCCAACTGTCTCTTCCCTTAAAATGAGTTGTAGGTGCCACCTTGGCCTTCAAACAGAATTTTCTGGCTGTAACACTGGTTTTAGTTCTTCATTTATTCGCTCCTTTGTAGATTAATCTGTACAAATTGTGATAATTTTTTTCATCCTCATGTTTTTCTCCGTCTCTATATCTCTTTGTGCCATAAGGCACATAAGGCTTTGACATTCTCTTTCCATCCACTTCAGTTTGTTGCTAAAGTTCTAACAGTCATCTATGATCGCCACCCAGCTATTCATCTTTTGTCCTTAATCATTCTCCTCCATGTTGTTTTCTCCTCCATGTTGTTTTTTACCTTTCAAGTATAATATGCAAACATGTAAACTGCTGCATGTGAACTGTTATTCATCCTAAACTTCATATTTTAGACTAAACTTGTGCAATAATGTGTTCACAAGCATGATTTCCTTCTCTATCTGTGTAGTTGTAGGCCCTTATGTAGCCATCATGTCTTTTTTAAACAATTGTCAATTAAAACTAGGGAAGCAAATGCTTGGGTACAAAGAAAAATTGTTGTTTTAAGAAAAAAGGCAAAGGCATTTTTTTTTTATGGTTTTTTAATCATCTTTTATCCAATTTTTTTACAGGAAAAACCAAGGGTATCTGTTAAAAAGTTTGTCAAAATTGGTCGTCCTGGTTACAAAGGTAATAGAATAGTTTGAACCTGTTTCTGTAGCCAGAGACCTGGGTGTCTATATTGACCAAACTCTCAATTACAATGAACATATATCAAAGCTAGTTTCAAGCTGTGTTCACAAACTTGTTCAAATTAATAGGATAAAACACTTATTAGATTGGAAAACTCAACTTTTAACGATTAATGCCTTTGTATTTAGTAAACTCTTTTATTGTTCGAATAATTATATCAACAAAGTTGAAATGGTAAATTGGCCACCGTTACGATTATAACAGCTGACATTTAGAGCGTTAGCCCTTCGTCTGAGGGAATGACGAAGGGCTAACACTCGAAACGTCAGCTTTTATAATCATAACGGTGGCCAATTTGCCATTTCAACTTTGTTGATATATTCAAATTATTTCGTTACCCCCACCGACGCAGCCCCAAACACTTTCTTTAGAAACTATCAGCCTTTATTCTTTTATTGTTCGACTGTTTGGGGAAATACATCCAAATCAAATATAAAGAAGCTGCAACTCTTTGGGCCTTATATCACGTAGGTGGCTTAGCATAGAAGATAAATTGCGATTAAACAGCCGTCATGGTGCATAAATGCTTACATCATTGGGTGCCCATCTGTTTGAAAGACAAATTTTTATGTAGGTCACAAGTTCATAATAGACAACTTAGATCTTTTGATAATAATGATCTCAACTTGCTACACTGTCCACTTTCTACTGATCAAAGGTCATTTGCCTTTTGGGAAGCAAAAGTTTGGAACTCACTCCCCTTGGACCTAAAGTTAACCCCTTCACTGAGGACTTTTAAAAGAATGTATGCCAACTGCTTTTAAACAATAATTATTTATCATGAAATGTTGTATTTAATAGTTAATATTTAATTTTATCTTTTATTTCATTAAGATCATTGAGATTTTTAAATTATTTCTAATTCATGTAAGATTTTCATTTAATTTCTATTCAAGTTAGTCTATTTGTTATTTAAATATTGCTGCTGAAAAGCCCTTTTCAGGAAACGCAATGAATAAATATATATGTATATGTATGTACATATACATATGTACTTAGGTATATGTTTGTACGTGTTTGTATGTATATGTACATGTATATATAGGTATATGTATGTTTGGGTTGAGCTTTAAATAAATTTGTCTGCATTCATATAATTCAAACTATATATACATGTACATATAGGTGGAGTAGTATTTTTACTATTTTTTTTGGCTGCATGTAGTTCAAACTAGGTGGTCAAGTGTTTCTTTTTTGTTCTGGTTAAGGGCTGTAGAAATATATCAAACGAAAGAAAAACGCAAATTAAACAAGTCCAGAATCGTTTTATCTTTTGCTGACACCTTGCTATAATTGTTCTTTTCCTGTCCTGTATTAAGTTACAAAGCAGAGGGATCCTGACACAGGACAGCATAGTTTACTCTTTCAGGTAATATATGTGCATCTATGTGGACATACTTTCATTGCCACTGTGAACAATTAGAGGTGTACTTCATTTCTGATGCTGCAAAAGAACCACCCAGAATATCACCAAGGCTGTTTATGAATTGAAAATGAAATTAAATACTGGTACATAAAGGGTTTTTACAAAACAATTTTTTTTAATTCTTTTTTTCATTCTGCTCAATTTTTCCTTGAGCTTTCTCACACAGGTTTATACCACTCTGCAGTGCACATTCACCTTGCCAACAAACTGCAATTTTAATTTTAGACAAGGGAATAAATTATAAAGCATTTGAGGGCTTGTAAAATGAAAAACTGTTTGAACTCAAAAATCCTCCCAAACCCTCACAATCCTCTTAAAGTGCACCTAAACCCCAATTTTTTTTTCGCTTAATGAAATAATCTTATTTTTTTGGAGTATTTCTGTCATTTAGATATTGTCCGAAATATGCCGACTGGGTGTGCTGTATGAGGAATGTATCAAGCGCGATACCCTCTTGCAAATTTTGCACTTTTCTACATCCTTCTACAACACACTTAGTTGGCATATTTTCGGACAATATTGACTATAACCTTCCCAAACAAGTGAAAATGTGTGAAATGCAGACTTTCATGTTCTCGATTTGACGTCACATTACCCACTAGAGCCATTTCTTTTTAAACTCGGTCATGGGGCAAGGTGGCGACCGATTTTCCATATTTTGACTGGGCATAGAAAATTGAAGATTTGAGCAAATAAATAAATTTTTGCACAAATACTCCAAAAAATAAGCTTATTTCGTTAAGCGAAAAAAAATTTGGGGTTTAGGTGCACTTTAAGGGCTATGGCCTTCGGTACACTGATTGCAAGATTTCTTCTCAAAGTACCTAGTCATTTGCTCCTAAAACTTTTAAGAACTCTGAGGACTTAGAGTGACTTTTAATTTTAAGTTATTGCTTCACCATTTTATACCCGTATTTAAGTGACTCTGAATTCTATTGTACAAACTTAAATTTTAATTTTAAGTTATTGCAATTTCTAATCTATTAGGTCTTGACAGTATGTTTTAGGCTTTTTTAGATTCTTAATCTTAGAGGCACGTATGTATTTTGAACGAGCTCTACGAGCTCCTTGATGCTACGTGGGTAAATAAAGTATTGATTGATTGATTGATAATCACTGATGTTTTCCAGGTGGATTACCCAGAGATAGCAGAGAGCATCACTCCAAGACACCGCTTCATGTCTGCTTATGAACAGAGAATTGAACCTCCTGACAAGGCATGGCAGTATCTCCTCTTTGCAGCAGAGCCATATGAAACAATAGCATTCAAGGTGATTAGTTGTTGTTAGCTTTTCTCTGTTTAACTTTACCTCATGTAAACTGAGATCTACCTTGACCTACCAAATCTCGCGTCATATTTGATAAATCATTAGTTGAATTCTTATTTGGCTTGAACCATGAGGGAGATATTAAGAAGCATGGAGAATAAGTCAAATAGAGATTTGCAATTATTTCATGATATTTGTTGTGATAGATTCCAAGTCGGGAAATTGACAAAGATGAAGGGAGACTTTGGACTGAATGGAATAAAGACACAAAACAGGTCAGATTTTCATGAAATGACATGTATCTATGAACTGTGAAGCACTGCAATACTGATACACTCAATAAACCATGAAACTATATTTTACACAGAAGAGAAAAACATATAAAAATTGCAGGACCTAGATTTTGGCAAGGCGTCTATCTAATTCAAAGTCCGCTTCGTAAACATTACTTTTAATTGTTCTTTTAACTGTTCTTGACCCTCTAAGACAGAGCAGGGCCGACCTAAGGATGGGCAAAGGAAACTAACTGAAAAAATACTATCAGTAAACTTTTCATACACTAGACCTAGAAATTCTGCACCGAAGGGGCTTTTGTTACAGGGTTTACAGTGAGGTTTTAAAATACAACATACTGTTCTCTTTTCTTGCAGTTTTTCCTCCAGTTTCATTTTCGGTTGACTCCCATTCAAATTCAACAGCAACAGCAGAAGAGAGGTGTCAGTCAGCCAGGTGTGCCACCAGGTTTAGCTCCGCCCCCTCCGAGGAACATTCCATCTGCCAATCCACTCAACCCGTTTGCTCAGCGCTGATAATTTATGTTGTCTATGTTAACTTTTCAGAGGCGTGCATACTTTTTTACACTTAGAGCTAGATTACAGACTAAAGTTTTTGTAACAGACTTGAGCACCATCAATTACAGCTAATAAAATGGGATTTACAACTTGAGAGGTTTGTGTTTCAATAGAACAAAATATTGGTGTAGACCTTAGCCAAATGGCCACAAGGCAAAAAACAAGATTATTGATCAAGTAGGCTTTATGCAAATGCCTTGTGCAAATTTTACCCTGCAGAGTCAGCAAAACTAGCCATTCCAAAACAAACGCTCCAGTGATAACTTCGTATTAGGCGTTCTGCTGACGGCGTGTGCGTTATTATTGAAGCTTCAACATTTAAATGGAAGAAAAATTTTCTGCCGACTTTGGTAGACCCAAGGGATTATAGTGACGAGGTCTACACGAAACAAATGAATATTTCGCTAGATAGATGGGGTCACAATTCTTTGTTGGTATCGTTCTCAGTGTGCGTCAATGTTGGGTTGATTCCATTGCAATACCTTACAGCACTGATTCCATGATATGATCGAAATGAGGGACCCTGACGTTCTGATAGGTGCAAACATGCTCGAGTGCTGTGATTAGATATATGCAAGATACATACCACTCAATACGCTAATCTAATTATTTTTTATATAAACAAAAAACTACAAAAACCAATTACGATATATACAACGGTATGCAGCTACGATGAAAAGATAAAGGATGGAGGTGTCATGAAAGCATGGTAGTTAACAAAGAATTTTTTTAAGTATATGTAATTCATTCTTTAATTCTCCTGAGATCAATGTACTGTGTTGTATTGTAGTGTACCTATTAGGTAATCTGTATTCTTTACTTGCGTAACCCGTTTTGTAATTAACCTTCATCCAATAGTTTTCTTTTCTTTTTCTATCACCTTGCGTCCACATATATTTAAGACTTTTGGGTGGTTACGGTTGGAGAGGTTTTTTAGTTTTGAGCGAAGAGCGTTGGGGAATTGAAAGGAACAGAGACTCGTTCAACATCAGAGCCGGGAACGTAAGTGCACAGAGAAGCTGTCAGACAGTAAGCTGACGAAGAAGTGGTGATAAATAAATTAAGAAGAAAAGTCCGAACGAAGGTCAAATTAAGAGAAGTTGTCTGAGCGAAGAGGGAAGTACGCAAAGTTGGAAACTGGTGAAACGGGAGATTTGTTTGTGAAACGGGAGGTTGGTTTGTGAAACGGAAATTTGGTTCGTGAGTACGTAGTTTGTTGGTGGAGCGTGGGAGAGTTGAGGACAAGTCAAGAACACGGACGCAAGGCGAACTGAACTAGTAAAAACTTATTTTTTTTTAGTTAATAATACTCTTCTAAATAGATTTAGCGTACTCTAATTTTAGATTATATTCCTGTAAATTAATTAAGGTAAATAATTTAGCTTATTGTATTATCGTGATTGTTAGTTACTATTATTGTCTTAATAAATATTTGTAGGCTTACGTTTGGTTGTGGCGTGTTTTCTCGGGTTTGTTTATGCCTGGTGTTTTTTTTGTGCATGTGTTAAAGGGCGCCCACCTTTGTGGCGCGGTATGGTCACAGGGGGAAAGACGGCGTCTATTAAACTAGTGGTAAGCCAACAGTTTCCATTGATTTGTAACAGCGATCCGGCGATACCGCCCTAACAAAGTGGTAGAGTGAAAAGTAAAAGACGTAATAAGCTAAAAAAACAAGCATTGTGGATGGGGATCCAGCAAAGAAAACCATTTCCCTGACAACCGCAACCGTTATTTCTCACTTCCGCGTTCTTAAATTGCCTACACTGACTGGGGCTTGGAACAGGTCATTCTTCGTCTGTCTTCTCAAAGTAGTTATCATGCTTAAGCTCAATATGGGCTGATTCTAGGCTTCGACACCCCTCCCCCGGGCAACTCACGGGCATTTGATCCTCATCCGTGACCGGGGGCTGGCGAATTTGAACCTTGCCTCGCTGGGGTAGGGATTTAAACGAGAAGTGTCAAGTCTTTCTAGTGGAATTAAAGTGTTTTATCTCTAAAAACTGAACGTGTTTATGTTTATTAGTTCCTGAGCTAACCGCCTCCCAGTTAGCTCAATGGATAGAGCGCTGGACTGTTGTACGGGAGGTCGAGGGTTCGAGCGCCAGCCGGACCGACACTCAAGGTCTTAAAATAATTGAGAAGAATTTGCTACCTTTCTATAACATCAAGAAATGGTTAGATATTCTAGTCTTCTCGGATAGGGACGAATAAATGGAGGTCCCGTCTCCTGCAGGGTTGGGGTAGGAGACGTTAATTTCCCACACACGAGATTACTGTGTGATGGATGTCCTCCCCTGGGCTGGGATGGGTGGGAAGGTGAGAAAGTGAGATCGATAGACTGAAGCGGCTGCCAGAGGCGCCTGATATGCTGACGTCTGTTCTCAACCTTACACTGCACCCATAATTCAACCTCTGGGCTGCAAGTGGTCAGATATAAACTATATTTACATCTTTGGCTCCCTTACGAGTTCCCAACTTCTTTAATGTAAAACAACAATTAAAAATCTGTTCTTTTATTCCACGACAGGTACTTCACATTGCAATTAAAAAACTTATTCCAAATCAACTCTGCGGGGGATGGGGGGCGGACCCGCCTTCTTGGCTGCAACCTTCAAGAACGGTTCTTCAGAAGAGTCTTGACCAGACACACCTGCTAGGAAATCTGGTACAGTAAAGGTTATATTTTCACTTGACACGTTAGTCACTTCAAGTGATTCGCTCTCAGAGGCTGGGAGATAATTTTTTTGTTCATTTAAAGGTTCATTAATGACCAGTTTACCTTTGGGTTTCACGGGTGGAGGAGGATTAAGGTCCGGTCTCTGAGGAGGTTCCGGTTTAGGTGCCTTTCTAGCTGGATGATTACTTTCAGTGACTACCACTCCAGACGACTTGACTTTTGTCCGTGGAAGTGCTACCGGTTTCACCGTCGTTTCATCAACTCTCCCACCATTTTCAGGGTCTTTTTCAGATATTATTGAACGAGGCCTTGGCTTAGGGGTTGGTTTGGAAAGAGATGGAGCTCTTTGAATTCGCGTAGCCTCATTATTAGCAGTAGCATTGTCTGTGTTTGAATCAGAGAGAACTGAACTTGAATTTTTATCTACATCACGTGAAGTCTGCTTTGTTGAAGGTTGTTCCTTGTCACTTTTTCCATCTAAAAAAGGAAGAATGAAAGAAAATGCACCGTTTTTAATTTAGCCAATAACTACAATTTTTTCGTTGGATACGTGCTCTTAAACGAATTTCATAAGTAAGCATCTATCATTATCATCTGTCCTCACTGGCCGGAAAACCTGGCGGTTTTATGGGAGTTAAGAACAATGGAACATCGAGAAGAATGGGATGGACAAACCGCTGGCCTGCTACTCATTTTCGAAGCTCAGCCTCCTTCATTTCTTTCTACCACCTACTTAGCCTTGTCGACATACCCGTTTTTGCTTTTCCTTTTCCCACCGACTTCTTACCATCCTCTTTTTCACTTGAAACGCCATCAGGCAGCAAAAACGATGGCAGTAGTTAGGGATCATCTTTGGCAGCAAGCAGCAAAGCCTCCACGTTATCGGCGCCAATGTGAGCCACGTGTTGAATATTAAATGGAACACCAATACCAGGACTCTTGGAAATAAACGTAAAATCATTATGTCACGTGATGGAAGCCGACAAAATTCAGTACTGGAAGGAAAAATGTAGACATTGGTATGGTTTAGGGTATATGTTATGCCATTATATATGAAAAAAAAAAAACAAGCATCCCCACCAGGAAAAAGCGATTTGATTAGCGCTAATTGTTCTTCTAACGACCTGGTAAAGTAAATCCATTGATCCTTAAACTCCCAAGTGACTAACTTGTAACTTTTCGCTTCAAAATCAATTCATAATTTAGCAAGCAAATTAGAGGAATACATAAACTTATCAGCTGAAAGTCGTTTTCTTGAAGCAACAACGTCATCTCCTTGCCGGTTTCAAGGGTTACGTATAGCGGCTGGAATAAAGTGTTACAAAACAAATACGCCCAGCTGAGTACCTGTTTGTCTTTTTTAGCGGAAGCATGAATGATGTCCACTTTAGGCTTGGGCTTGGGCTTAGGACTCTCCGGAGGGGGCAGAGAGAGCGGCGCTTTAGGACCATCAGCGTCCCTCTTTGGATGGGCTGGTCGTTTTGGCGGCGCAGGCCTGCTGGGTTTTAGAGGTTTGACAGATTCCTTCACCATGGCATCAAAATCATCAAGGGCCTCAACTTCAACAGATTGGCCGGCGTCAACAGGTGCAGAAGCCACGAGGATCTCCTCGACTTTGTTGACCTGAGTTGAGGCTTTTACAGGTGGTTTGGGTCTCGCAGGCGCTGGCCTAGGTGGCGGTGGCCGCTTAGGTCCAGGCTTCTGATTGTCGTCACGTTTAGGGCCTGGTTTTCCACGAATGATTAAAAGCTTTAAAAAAAGTAACTGCCCCGAAACGAGCATAAATAAATTTACTCAACCCACTTTCATGCTCTCCTGAAGTCAAGTGACTATACTTATGGGAATTAATTATCTTCGTATTTCGTTTGAAACTTAAAACAAGTCTATTGCTCGCAGTCTCATTTTCCTGGAATAAAAAAAGGTCCAGGCCAACCTCTGTTGCAGCAATTAACAGTTCAAGTTCTCCTTGCCACACGAGACAGATTGTAACGGCCCGATCATACTGTAATAAGTTACTTACCACAGCCTTCGTTGGTGATCTTTTTCATTTCAGGGTCTGCTTCTGGTTCGCTATCGTTGTCACTGTCATAATTTACTGCATGGTTTCCGTCGTCTTCCGGTTCACTCTCGGAATTTTCATCATCCAAAGCTTCCGTTGAATGAATCCTGATTGGTTCCAAGACAGGTACGTCCACCGACTGCTTTTCTGAGGAGGACGACAACAGATCTGACAGCGCCCGACCTCTGACAGGAGTGAACTTAAAGTTCCTGTGTTCTTCAGAGTCACCAGTAAATGAGGACCCGTCGGAGACAAGGTTTTGAACAGTGAGGTCCGTTTTGGATAAGAGCGATTCAGATTTAAGACGAACTTGCACTGTTTTACCAGATATCTGCGAAAGTAAAATTGGGATTGCTTGTTTTAGTGAACATGCATTCAAATTGTTAAACTGCAGAACAAGTAAATAGGTTGAGCCACATATTCATTTAAAGAGACCCTTCTAATGTACGATGATGGGAACTCTTACGAAACCTTCCCAAGCCGTACCAAATCAGTCTGCATAATGCTAGACACGTGATGCGAGATAAGCGCGGAAATGCGCTCAAATACATTTGTCCTTTGGACTCTACCTTTTCGTTAAAGATCATCGTTTTCCTCGAACTTTACCTTCGCAGTTGTGAACGAACATGCGAGAATATTTTCGTGCCAAATGGAAGCATTCGTCTTTAAGCCCCGAACTTTCATTAATAGGCTGCTGTAAGACCCAGCTGACTGTTGAAAAATTATTTCAATGCCCCTGTGCGCCCATACTTCAGGCACACCTTCACAACTGCCAGATTTTTACCTCTTTTCCGTCAAGTTCCAAAGCTTTCAAAGCATTCCTTCCATCATCCATAGTCAAAAAAAATTCGTCATCGACCAACCTGAAAAATATACATCAAATGGATATGTCGTGAACAGAACTCCCTCAATTCATCGCTGGTTGAGCTGGCTTGATATGGATACAGACTTTGGTTTGCGCTAAGAATTTCAACTTATACTTCAAGTAAACAACTTTTTGTGTAGCTGTTCCGTTTTGACGCCAAGATGCAGTCGCAAAGAATCTAGGGACGAATAAGCCTTTTTATATTTAAATGGGCGCAACGAATTTAAATACTTTCCTAACACACATCCGCTGAAAGAACAGGTAAAGAGCTGTGTAAAGATGTATGGATTACCCAACAGAATTGCAAGTGACATTTCGCTGCGCATATTTCAGCCCTTCAAGTGTGATTTCATATTTAAAACGCAATTCATTCATTTGCTTTGTAGTTTGACTGTTGCCGATGTTACCGTTGGCAACCAGTCCAGAAATAAAACGGTTATCTGTGTATCTGTAGCCTTCGTATTTAAGTAACGCTTCGCTACGTAAGCGCGAATCAGACTTTGTGCGAGTATTTTCTTTTGATTTCAGTAAAGCTTTCGATACTGTCTCGCAATATATAGTGTGCAATAAGTTGAAGGTCATGGATGTCGATCCGTATATCATCAATTGGATCATAAGTTTTTCAACTAATAAGCAACGGGTGGTTGTAGATGGGTAGTCTACAGAATTTGTCAGTGGTACAAGGGTGTTCCTCAAGGAACTCTATTGGGGCCCGTCTTATTCTCTAGAATGATTAATGATATCACTGCTGTACATCTCGGAAGTAATCTGCGTCTTAAATATGCAGACGACTTGACGCTTGGCATTCCAGTCAAGTCAACAGTTCCCAACTCTCTTGCGATGCAAGAGGTGGGGAACATTCAACAATGGGCCTGTAAAAACAGGATGAAACTTAAACTAAGCAAGACCTGGGAGTTGGTATTAAGAAGGAAAACAACCAAACAGACGCCTGATGCGTTACCCTCAATTGTATGGAAGCCTGAACTTAAATTGCTCGGTGTAACCTTCAATCAAGACCCCTGTAACTGGGACACTCATTTTGATCTTCTGCTACGTAAAGGGTTTGTAAATTTTATGGTTATTCGCAGGAGGATTTGACGGCTCTTTTTAATAGCTTAATTACGTCATTATTTTTGTAAGCAATTGAACTTTGGGGAACGCATTAGAATGTAAATACCTCAGCAGAATCGATAAGTTCTGTAAACGTACCCACAAATATGGGTATCCATTGAATTTTACACCCATTAAAGATATTCTTCGTGCCAGAGATAAACTGTTATGGGAACAGATCACGAAAGACAGCGATCACTGTCTACAAGACCTACTTCCCCTGGAGAGGAGAAGGTCGCTCTGTTCTCGTGGCCATAACGACATTTTACCTCGTATTCGTACGGAACGTTTTAAGCGAACTTTTATCAACAGATGTCTTTTTAGTTTCATTTAGTTTATGACTAGTTTTCTCTTTAGTGATAAATTTTGGTAAACCTTACACGTTTGTTTGCAGGTATATGTTGTTGCGTAATCAAGTAATAAAGACTACATCATCATCATCATCAACACAAGAACGTGTACTTCTTCACTTGAAATGTTTCCCTTGTTCATGCTCACTGGACAACCAATGTCATCTTGTGATTTATTAGCCTGTGTGAAGAATATTACATAGTTTGTCGTGTAATAATAATAATGTCTCATCGTTTGTCTCACGATATAATCTTTTATGATGTGGATAGCGACGTTTCGACATCCTACTGCTAGTCTTCATCAGGCGATAAGGTCGACTGGTTTCGAGTCTTGTTATAAAGCAGGATGCTTCGCTGTAATTGGCTGGTAATTCACAGCTGTGATTGGTGCGTTTTGATCTTCAATACTAGTGAGTTGTTCTGTCGGCGGTCCGCTGTCGCACGGCTCTCCTGTTGTGTTATTTGATCGTGGGCATCCACGCTTCAGGAACTTCTATTCCACAGTCCCTGTTGACGTTGTTAGGGTGAAGTCTTCTGTGAACAGATTCTCTGACCATGCGAGTGTACCAGTGAGAATAACAATCAATAAACTTAACCTCATTGGTGTCCGGTATTGTGGGCGTGCGCTGGAACGGCGGAGGTCTGGGTGCGGGCTAGTCGGATGTCTCGGTTGTACTCCTTTATTCTGGCTTGGATTGGTCTTCCAGTCCCACCGATATAAACTTTGCCGTATTCACATGGAAGCCTGTAAACTAGCGAATCATGTAAACTAGCAAATCCTGTAAACTAGCGTAGTTTGAATAAGTATGTCGCCAATACTTTTATTTTTAGACCAAAAGGTGTCGTTACCTTACCACTGTCGTTAGTAACAGAGTGATTTTATTCTTACCTCACTAAAACAACCGTCCCATACGGCTCCACGGCATCGAGAAGCTCAGACACATCAATCCCAGCATCCTCTTTAGAAGCTTCATCACTCATGACCACAATAGTAGGGTCAGCAGGACCCATTGCTTCCATGACATGGTCATGTACATCACACTGTTTCGTCCAATCAACCTGCTGTATCTCAATTTCTACGAGGGCAACAACTGGCCTATGGAAAAGTATAAACGTAAACTTGCAGTGGGCAGAAATGTCATCATAATTTAGTATTAATGTAAAATCTCTTTTTTAACAACATGGTTTATACAACTTTGTATCAGGTTTTGCTCTTCGCTACATGCCTAAATATGAGGAGTTAAGCCAAACAGGCAGAAAAAAGAAAAACTACACTGGCGCAAAGACCCCCATCGAATTTGTTTTATAACACAACCAAAGTAAAGCGCGCGCTCTGATTGGTCAATTTAGCGTCCCCCATTTGCCCATGGGTGTACGCTGCTGGCGTGAGCAAATGCAAAGACTATTTTTCCGCGCGCGCTTGTTTTTTTCTGGTCGCGTAAGATTTGTTAAATAAAAGGGAACTCTTTAGCTACAATGTATCAATGTTATGTTATTTATTACAATCCATTTTGAAATCACTGGTGGTCCCTGTAATCTGATTGGCTCTAATTGGTGCGATTTATTCCCAAATCGCACCATTTTTTGCTCTAAATCGCATCATTTTACGCTTGACTGAGTTTTTGACACATGACGTCAGTCTTTCTGTTTTGCACACAAAATAAGATGTAAAAGCATCTCAGGTTCCGCTTTTTATTTAAAAACCGGCTTAGTACTGCATCACTAAATTACTTGAATTGACCAAGTCCTGTATTTGGGGCGATTTCAAAATGGATGTAATAAAGTGTTAATTGAACCTAGTGTCGTGCAATTTTGGTCTGAAATCATACTTGTGATTTCAAATTGAACTTGCGCTGCGCGCTCGTTCAATTTTGAAATCACGCGTATGATTTCAGCCCAAATTGCACTCCACTCAGTGCAATTACCTTTATAAAACAAATGGTAAACACCACAGCGTACACTATTGAGTTATGGATGCACTTGGGAGGTTTGCTAAGCACTCAAGAAGCTAGAGTCGCTCTCGGCTATCGCCTCGAGCGACTCTTACGCTTCTTTCGTGCTTAGCAACCTCCCGCGTGCATCCATAACTCAATAGTGTACGCTGTGGTGTTTACCATTTGTTAAAAAATAACCGCCGATCCTACAGGGAAATTAAAGATAAGGAAATTGTATTACGCTATCAGATTAATTTAAAGAAAATTAGGCATACCTGTGGTCGGAGGTCTTTAACTCAGCCCGGCCGTAGTATAAAACTTTTCCAGCAGAGAAATTAATTCCTCCCCCTCCTTGTGGCTTGTCGCCTTTCTTGTCTAAAGGAGAAAACAAACAGACAAACAAAAAACATGCATTTAAAAAACCAATTCACACCAGAAAGATAAATCTCTATTCCAATAGTATGTCAAAAAAGTCAGTGAAAAAACGAACGAGATATACCCTTACAAACAGACTAAAAAATAATGCTAAGGGAATTAATGACCATCTATTGGCGTAGAGACTATCCAATATGTATGGTTAACGTTTTCCGCTGGCATTTTAACCTCGTTCTAGAGATTTGCCATTCAAAAATTATTTTGAACTCTACTCCACAGTGGTGACCAAGATTTAACAATTGTCATTCGACAAAAAAAATTACTCCCCATCGCAAGAAGGGACACAATCCGAATAATACGAACTGAAATTTTCGAGTCGGAGTGACTCATATTACCGAAGAAATGACCGGCAGAACTTTCTTCAAACGCTTGTCTTGGGGCTAAAGCACATGGCTTTGTATTCAGCTGACAGCTGGCAAAAGAGAGTGTAACTTCTTCACCTTTATTTTCATCCGGATCCTTAACTTCGCCTTTCTCTCCTTCTTCGTCCGCCTCTTCCTCGTCATTGCTATCATCATCTTCCCCGGCCTCCCCTCCCATCAAGAGTGATTCATTTCCCCGTTCCGATTGATTCCGCGCAGATACATGTTTACGAACTAAGGTTGTTGACTTATACCGAGGCTTCCTCCGTCTCCAAAGGACGCGGTCGGTCCAGGCAGGAATACGCATCTTCTCGCTTGTATCATAATCGTCAGAAAATAAGTCGTACTTGTAAGTTGGAGCAAACGCAATTTTTCCTTCATGAAAGGCGCGGAAGACCTTACAAATAAATACAACATCAACTAATCACTGAAAAAAACGACAGAATAAAGTAACGTTGGCATGATAATGACGTATTATGCCATTTATTAGTGCATCAGCTGGATAACGAAGTGAACCGGAAGTGCGATTGGGCGGAAATTCCTGTCATTTCGAGCGCAAACTTAAAGTATACAATTTGTGGACCTTGTCTGGAACAGAGAATCAATTAGTTAAGTTTTTGTACCATTTTAGAGTTAGCACAGTTTACCTTGTGTTCATTCCTTTGTTTTATAAGTTGATCTTCCTTTAAAAGTTCTTCCCATTGTTTGTTTTTAACCAGTTTTTTCACTTCGTCTATTGGTAGATCAATACGGTAATTGAAATCTCCACACCAGAATACATAGTCGTGTGAGGTCAAGCTGCGACCCTAGAAGGACCAAGCAACAACAAAATGGTATCAGGCACATCGTAAAATAAATAAAGGCTGTAAATTTTTTAAGAAACTAAGGTGCTGCGTCGGTGGGGGCGTATAAGAAGGTGATTTTGGTTTTATCAACGAGCTGATAATGTAAATTGGTCACCGTAAAGAGTTTCAAAGAAGACATTTCGATTGTTATCCCTTCGTGAAAGCGAGTGAGCTTTGACACTTCTTACGTAGGCCAATTTTTTACATCATCAATTCAGTTGATAAAACCAAAATTGCATCGTAAAGTACCTCAAAATTGCAAAACTTTCTGAAAAAGTGGCGCTTGTATAGCAACCAATGCCTCTTCTTTAGCCTTATTAAGAGAAGTGCGAGTAAAGCAAAGACCGCACAAAGGCCTCAGGCACGAGAGAGAATAAAAAAAAGGGACAAGCTGCTACTGTTCTTTGTTCGCTTCCGCCAAATGCTTCTGCGCGACTACTGCTAGGCTAAAAGGAAACAAATCGAACTGTTCCCCATGCTTAAACAGAAGTCAGGCAACATCTTAGCAAGTGCAGCGTTTCTCTCGACACTGAGGAAAATAACTGTTTTCGTTTACATGTATACCACACAAGAACCGAAAAAATAGCTTATTTCTTTCAATATCCCTGATAATATAAGAATTATCAGAAATTAAACTCTTGAGGCGCACTTTTGTTTCTTCGGCGGTTCGAAGGTAAATCGAAAGTTGCCAATCACTTCTGAGTTAGCCAATCAGCGCGAGTGAAAAGCAAGTTACAACCATACTACAACTAGGTATTTGCTATCTCACCATAGGAAAAGCTATCCTTGATGCAATATCGTTATAGTCACTGTTCCTATCGGCCACACCCGACTGACCAGCAGCCAGGTGTGAGCAAATGAAACAGATAGAAGTGGCGTGAAGTAAAAAACGGATGGCCACGCCTCCCTTGTTCCCAGCACTTCCTCCGAGGCCTGTTTTTACAGAATGGACAGCCACGTCCCTGAAACAAACAAAATGTGCTCGAATAAATTTGGCTTTCATGTAGCACTTTAACTCACAACAAGAAAGACAACGTCTACGTGTAAAAATAAAAGGAGTCGTAATGGAGCAAGGAAAATATAATCTGTCGTGTTTTTAGGGAATTCCTGAGAATGCTAAAATGGCAAGGGCTGCAATTGTTGTTTTTCTACCAAGCGCGTCGCTTTAGGGATAGTCTTTGTTATATAGAGACCTTAGTAGCATCATTGTACCTAAATTGTGATAAAATGCTAATCGAGGACCCACTACCCCCAAATTAAATAACTCTGTATTAACTTTTGTCTACGTTTCCTAATTCTTCGCGAATTTGGTAAATCACTCTCTGTGATCTAATCTTCCTAAATAGTAGATAACATAGAAGAGTTTAATAACCTGATGAATGGGACCAGATTAGGCCGAATAAACACAAACATACAAACACCAACCAGCTGCTCACACGTCACCAGAACATACGCATGATCACGTGATATGATACGACGCAGTTCCTCGCCCCATTCCTTACGCTGATTTGAACTGAAATTATCAAAACAAATCACTTCAGTAGCAGTCCGAAATAACTGTCTTTTTCTCACTGAAGACTCTGCTACAACTACGATTAAAAAGAATACGAATAAAAATTTTTATCAGGAGCACATCAACCGGAGCTCCCATCATATCTTTCAGTCAACCTTTACCCGTCTCATTTTATTCTACAAGGGTCATCGATCCTTCACTGTGTTCTAGTATGTGGATGATGCTTTTTTAATATAGCTGATGTAAACTATACTAAAATATTGATTATTTCTACACCTTTTTCACAGAAAGACACTAAAATGACCGAATTTACGCTTCATTCGTTAAGATTACGAAACAATTACCTGGTTGAAACAATATTTGATGCATTCAAGTCAACCAGCTCCTCAAAGCCTATAGCGAAAACGTCTGTGGGTACTTTAAAATTAACACCAACACTTTCTGAATAACCGCTTTCCGGAAGTGTTTTGTGAAAATCCAGCAGCCAATCATGCATTGTTTGGTGTTTGTGAGCGATACTCCGGAAGTGTTTACCTCCATTTACATTCCACGTACCCACACAAACCCGTATGTTGGACCACGTGGTGTACTCAAGATGGCGGTCGCACAGCTCCAGTAGAATCGTGGGTGACGCTTGGGAGAGAGAAGCAAGTTACGAAATGAAAAGTTCACATGATTAGGATAGCTTGACATTTCCCTAATCGAAGATTTTCCTCTGTCCGTGTAAGAAGTTTACAAAACTAAATGTAGAAAAAATTCACTAATGCAAAGAAAGGACTTTCTATCGCTTCACCCGAATGTTAACCCTTTGGGGATGATTGAAGAGAGAAAGAAACGTTTGCCAAAGGGGACTGATTTCTCATGTTTTTCCTACATCCTACTTTTCTGGTCCCTACATGTCTGGTGGTTTATTCGTTGACAAAATGCAGTTGCTTGATTTCATAAGAATTCCTGAAACTTTCAAGATATTTCGTTTCATGTAAACTCAGCAAACAGAAAGTCAAGGATGTCTGATCAAATCATGTGACTTACAGTGAAGAAACGAAGCATATAGCAACGCACGTGCCCTTTCACCCAACTCTCCAACAAATGTGTTGCCTAGCAACAACATGTCGATGGCTTCCTGTTTGCTTCCATCCAAGAAGTTGTTGACAATGGTTCTGTGGACTGAGCGTGCACCATCTCGAAGCTTGTTGATTACCTTCGAAAGACAGAGTAAAACAAAACAAAAACAACCTCTGAATCAATCAGATCCAAAATACAAACCAAATATGGTCTGGTCAGTCAGGTTTCTCCGCGCTTCAGGCAGATATTATCTACTTCTGACGTCTTGCGATAAATCCCTTTCTTCCTAGTATTTGTTGTTACTGAGACTTTAGTTGAAAAATAACTCAAGCTAAAATATTTCTATTTCACGTAATTTACAACACATCAATTGTTTATTTCCTACTATATGGAACAGAACTTTGATTTTTCCCTAGCTCTTTTTTAATTATGATCTCCGTCACCTTTTTCTTCATGAATTCATCATTCACAATACCTTGGCTTTGCCATCTAGGGCCCCTGTGCCGAGATACATGCGGCTTATATGGTCGCCATTTTGTGCCCACATGGTCCGGAAAGCCTCCTGAAATCTGGACAGCATTCCTTGTTTGCTTGATAAACTGAGGCATTCTAACTGCTGTGATAACATCTAAAAAAGGTAGAAAAACATTCAGCTGCCCATCTTACCCCAGCTCATCCCGGTTTCTGGAGTACTAAGCGAATGGGAGTAATGCCTCTCTTCTGGAAAGCTTCCTTCATTAGTGCAGCGACACAAGCCGCGAAGCACACAGGTTTCAAGCAAGCGAGGTCTGTGATGGGTCTGGAAAGAAAACTGATTTGTAGCGCCAGATTCCTCACAACCATTTGCAGACTCGATTCGCTCTTCGTTTCGAATTTTGAGAGCTTCGCCGCTCATGCAAATGCTAATGATAGCCTGCACGTAAACTATTTGAATGCAAGCTCACAAAAAGTTTCCCCCCCTCCCCACTCCCCCCTCCCCTTGTAAATGAGTATGAGCAAANTGTGAAGGACCCGGCCGTCTATCCAGACCAATATTGAAGAACTTTGGCGAAGACGTGTTCCAGAAACGGAAGGCCACCGAAAAATTAATAAAACTAACTTTAGCGCGCTTTAACGCTAACGTTCGACCGTAAGGTCTTTGTTTCAGCATTTTACCACACTGTACTGACCAAAAAGCTGTATTGAACACAATCACCCAGCCAGGGCTCAACCCCTGATCTGTTCATACAGATTCCACCACGTCAACCATTAGTAAGCGCATTCCTGTTTGCTTGTTGGACCAAGACATTCTAATTGCTACGACTAAAAACTAAAAATGGGAGATGCAGTAAAGAAAGTTCGACCGTGACAGCTTGACAACACTAACATCAGACGAATTTGCAACCACGCTCAAGTGAACAGCAACCTGAACTGCTCCTTGAACAATAACAATGGTATTCCAATTGCAATCAGGACACAATATGCGATTGACTGTTCTCAAAGCAAATCCCAAGTACATGTGATCACAACGGCCAAGCGGAACGAGAAACACAGCGCGGGAAAACGCGAGAGCAAAACCTATTTGAGTTTTACTCTTGCATCTGGTTGGTTGAAGGAGGTGACGTAAGCTTTTTAAACCAATCACAGAACGTAACGAGCAATTCCACTATATGAATTTCTTTGGACATTTAATTGAGAATTCCCCATTACATTCAACATACCCCAAGTCCCAAATAACTCTGCACGCTGTTGGTACGATCTATGCAATCGATGCAGTTGGTGCGAACAGCTCCCTTTTGTTTCCTGAGGAAGACGCAATACAAATAACTAACAGTAAATTGAAATAAATAAAAAATATGATAAAAGAAATGTGAAAAAAATATGAAAAGAAAATGCGCGAAGCAAACAATTATTTTGCACGGAATGATTTCAGCACAGAGTTCCCTTTTGGTTAATCAGAAAGGCATTCTTGTGAGGTTTTGTCTTTGTTCTCACTCTAAGTCCAGGTTGTAAAGAACATTGACCTTCAGCTGATGCAATCACGGTAGGTTCAAATTCTATAACCTGGTCTTGATTTTTACATACTCCAGCGGTTTTTCACCGTTCAAGAAATATTACCATGACAGTTCAAGAAAGAATATCCTCTTTCGAGATCATTTCAGCCCGAGAACCACTTACGAATTACGAAAAGTATCCTACATTCGGGTTGAAACGTCAAGATAGTTTTGGGAGTGTTATAATTACTCCTTGAACTATCAACTCACTGAGAAAAAGATGAGTAATAGACAAAAAAAGCACCATACTTCTTAATGTGATCTCCTTTACAAAAGAACAAGCCAAACTCGTCAAGAGAACGTCGCGCTTTTTCCTTCAGCACCGATAACTTGTCCAGCTTCCCACCTCGGCAGTTTTGATGATAGTCAAAGCAAATCATGCGAGTCTCTCGGCCATGAATTGAGTCTTTTAACTGATCCTGAAAACGAATTAAAGCCTCGGTCAAATACCGTATTTGATCCTAAGAGAATCACTGTTAAAAAAAAGTGCCAAACTTACACTGTAAGAGAAAACCTATTTTAAAAAAAACCTTGAATTCCTAACATGTTAAATCTCCTCACAAAACAATGCAATATCAGCGAACACGTGACGAGACTGAAAAACCTACAAGTTCGAGAAAACTGTCTTAATTTAAAAAAAAACTCTGTTAGTTATGTAAAGTTGAAAGCAAATTAACTAGGATGATTTGAGTAGGCTGTGTCTATTCAAGATCAATGAAACGATAACGGCGACAGAGCCGTGAAAACGAACAGCGGAGCTTTGAGTGCACAAACCACTTAACGAACGCTGCTGCTTTTGAAAACTTGCATAGCGACTCAATCTGACCATTAACATCATAAGGAACTTTACCTCACACATGTTTAAATCTAAACCTCTCCATGCGTGATTTCAGTGCGTTTTACTACCAGCAAAGAACTAAGAGGGAAGAGAGCCCGTTGAACCAAGAAGGCTTCGAGAAAAAAAATCTGCCTTATTATTAAGCAATTTTAGTGAGACGTCTAACCTCTGTATGAGAAGAATCACTCCTAAGTAGGATTTATACCTGATATGCACTGCTGAGAGTGTTTTCACCTTCTTTTGTACCAAGCAAGTTCACAAGTAACTGCTGACCATAAAGATTCTTCAGGCTTGTCAAATGTCTGTAACAAATCAACAAAAAAGTAATTCAAATTTAAATTGTCAACTGAGAGGAAATAGACTAAATTTATAGCATTATGCAAGGTATAAAGATATGTAAGTGAAATATAAATATATTTCCTTATCACACTTCTATATTATGGACAAAATTGATCACGAAATTTAAGGCCCTATTTATATTATTTCCCTGTTGAAATCGCGAAAATAAAACCGCATGAAATACTGTTGTCTCAAGTACCAAAATCGTAATATTAAGTATCCTAAAAGTAATTACAAATGAGAAAGATGATTGAAAGCCAAATTCTCTTAACTACATCATAGGAATTGTATGGCAGACAGTAGGGAGAATTATTAATGAGATTTTGGAAGTGATCGGATTAACATCCCATCGAGGCAGAATTAAACTTCAATCACTTACGAGAAAGACTTAATATTGCAACTGTTATCTTTAGGACATCTTTAAGTTAACCAAGATCAGAGGTTCTACTCACCTATACCATGTTTGTGAGAAAACAAATAATAATCCCTCTTTATCTATTAACCAATATGATATTCATGCAGCGTGTTTTACCTCAGCTGTGACCAATGGAATTACAATCTCTGTTTATCTAACCAATATGATATTCATGCAGGATGTTTTACCTCAGCTGCCACCAATGGAATTAAAATCTCTGTTTATCTAACCCTAATGATATTCATGCAGGATGTTTTACCTCAGCTGTGACCAATGGAATTACAATCTTTGTTTATCTAACCAATATGATATTCATGCTGGATGTTTTACCTCAGCTGTGACCAATGGAATTACAATATCTGTTTATCTAACCAATATGATATTCATGCTGGATGTTTTACCTCAGCTGTGACCAATGGAATTACAATATCTGTTTATCTAACCAATATGATATTCATGCAGCGTGTTTTACCTCAGCTGTGACCAATGGAATTACAATCTCTGTTTATCTAACCAATATGATATTCATGCAGGATGTTTTACCTCAGCTGTGACCAATGGAATTACAATCTCTGTTTATCTAACCAATATGATATTCATGCAGGATGTTTTACCTCAGCTGTGACCAATGGAATTACAATCTCTGTTTATCTAACCAATATGATATTCATGCAGGATGTTTTACCTCAGCTGTGACCAATGGAATTACAATCTCTGTTTATCTAACCAATATGATATTCATGCAGGATGTTTTACCTCAGCTGTGACCAATGGAATTACAATCTCTGTTTATCTAACCAACATGATATTCATGCAGGGTATTTTACCTCAGCTGTCACCAATGGAATTACAATCTCTCTTTATCTAACCAATATGATATTTACACAGGGTGTTTTATCTTACCTGTCAAAAGCAGGTGAGGATGCTTCAAACCCTCTGGAAAGTTTGACCTTGTGCGAACCAACCTAATGAATTCCATATAAAATCAAGTTTAAGACTCATGTTTTGTGCTTACGTGTACTTCTTACTAAAACCCTGTAAATTACAAAAACATGAAAAAAACCAATTTAAGACTTTAAAATACATTTCAAATGATCTTCAATTTCATGAGACCTTAGTTCAAAGTTCTTTTTTATTTACAATAATTGCTGAAACACTGTTGTAGTCACAAATTTGTGACAATCACAAGTGTTTGACATGATGTTGTTTATTTTCATTCCTTTAAGAGTTTTGTTCAATATGAAAACAATTGCTATCAGTGTTTAGCTACAATACCTGTAAGCCAGGCTGCTCCCAAAATACTGGTACTGAACCACGAGTCTGGACAAAAGATACTGTCATGTCCTCGAGCACAATGAACTGTTACAATGAGCAGAAATTGTTAGTCAGGCAATTAAGTCCAAATTGACCAAAATCAATAATCATTGTCAATAACTATTTTACTAAAATAAGCTGAATGATGCATGCATTTGGATTGGGTCTTTTTCATGCTCTGTAGGAAGACAAAAACCTAAGAGACTTCAAAATAATCAGCTATGGCTTCTTATCTTTTCAGTAATAGAACACAGAATACGTCAAAATGTGATAAGAACATTAGTGACTCACTTGACTGAGCCTTGTGCACCCCATTTTTCTTCTTATCACAATTTGACATGGACTGTGATCTATTACAGAACAGACATACTTTATTATAAAATCTATCTGTTTAATGATTGAACTATCTTTAGGGCAGCATTATCATAACTCACAAATGAGTATTGGCATGGCAGTGTGTAATGTAAAAAAAATTAATTTCATGATAGGAGCAAGAAAGACAGATGATCCTGTCAGAACCTGTTCTGTTTCAACAAAATTTGCCACATGTCCATCATCATTTGTTCCTCTGACATAAAACCTTGTTCCTGCTCTTTCAGAACTCAGTCTAGACATGAGACAAGCTTTAGCTTGAGTTTTTCCAGCATACACAGTTCGTATTTCCACTGCACCACACATAACCCGTAGCAGCCACTGTGAACAGTCAATTCCAAATCTCTGCAGGTGTATGTGTAAGCTGCGATTCCTGCCCAGTAACAGAGAAAAAGAGGATTGCACTATGACCAAATACCATGTGAGATGCAGTAGCCTAATTGTTAGCAACCTGGAGTTCAGCATTGAAAAGTCGATGTTGAAGACCTCCCAGGTCATTGCACTGTGTTCTTTTGCAATACACTACTCTCAGCACCTGGAAGTGCAAGATCAGGGAAGCCAGCTGACTTTGCAGTCAGGGATAACCTGTAATGGACTAGCATCTCATCCAGAGGGAGTACCACCCACAATATCAAATTTACTAAAATAAGCAACACCCTTTGAGGAAGCACCTCCTTTGGTTAAGCACCACATCAAGGACAAAAAAGGTTAATTAAGAAGCACCCACTTTAGTTAAGCACCACGTTAAGGACACAAAAGTTAATTAAGAAGTACCTCCTTTGGTCAAGCACCACATTAAGGACAAAAAAGTTATCACCCCTATATAAGTGCTGCAGTGGCAGTGCGATGCTCTATGTAGCACTTTTCACCACAAGCCTAGGTTAATATAGAGGTTCCCCCTATAAAAGCCATCTGTACATTGAAAATCACTGGGTAGTCCTTACCAGAAAAACCTGTTATCAGGTTCACATCCCTCATATCGTCTCTGCGCACACAATGTCAAATCCAATGGTCGCTGATCTCCAGGAGAAACAGAGAAATAAAATGTTCCAGAGTTTAAAAGTTTGCATAATTCAGCAAGAATTTCTTCATCCTCACCATCTTGTAGAGGAACCAACTGAGTGGCATTGACACGAAATATTTCACTGTCATTAATCTTTCCCACTGATGTACAGCCAGTAACAAGAACAAGAAAAAAACTTATCTCTTGCACACCTGAAAGAAAAAAAAAAATCCTCAATGAGATCACTTGATCCAAAAGGCCTTGGTCCTTGCTTAGGGTTAGATAATTGATAATTGTGGGATGTTGGTGCCTAAGATTCAGACAGTTTCCTCTAGTTAGTTATCATTTTTATATCATCAACAAAGTTCTTTATAAACTTTCTCCTTCTTAAGGTACAATTGTTTTTCTTGGAAGTGAGTGCAATGTTGGGAATTAAACCATAGAGTGGCAATTTTACTATACAACAAAACAACATCAACAACCCAAATAATTGAAATTCACATCACTTAAAAATTGTAAGATGTCTTACCCAGATTAATTTTGAGAACTCCCAGACAGCCATAAGCATCAACAACCTTTGAATATCCTTTCCTGATACTCTCTGTTTCCCCTTGTGCTGTGAACAAACAGAAAATGTCATGAAAACTATAGACGAATTAACAAATATATTTCATTACTGTGCATTTGCTCAGTAATAGATCACGTGACATCAAATAAAGTGGCACACAAGGCAAAGCTGTACAGCTACACTTAAGCAAATTTACAGGTTTAGTTTAGTTTAGTTTATTGAGGTTCGCCAACACACAACACAAAAAATATCTATAAAAAGGTACCACAGAGGCAGGAGAAAAAAAACAAGACACGCCCCAATTGACGTTTGTTCCCCTAACAAATTATAACAATAAAATCACAATATTCATAAACAATATTTAAAAACCAATAAAAGTCAGCTTAGAAGCTAAGGCAGAATGTACTTGTCCATTTTGTCTATATAGTGAAGTAGAAGAGGGTGTTTGAAGGTTTTGATAGTGTTGGCTTGTGTCAGTTTGGGAGAGAGATTGTTCCACAGTTTAATTCATCTTGAGGAAAAAAGACTGGTTGAAGTACATACATACATACATACATACATAGATAATCTTTATTTAAACACGATGATTTTTAAAGCTATAGAGCTTGTGGGGTGGTGTGTTTAAGAATTAAGCTAACTAATCTTGTCAAAAAACATACATATCATTTCTAAAGTACAATGATCAATAATATATAAAATTATGTTGTCTCCATCTTATAGCAGATGCAGATGTACAATTGAACTTAAAGTCTTTAAAACAATCTTCAGAACTGACTCGCTTGCTGAGCTGATTAAAATTGAGGGTCACCAATACTTCCTTACTGTTGTGGTTAACAGAGTTCCATAACAAAGCTCCTCTATATGAGTCTTTCATATATCTTGACTCATACCTCGGTACGAGAAGACGATTCTGGTCTTGAGTGAAGTAAGTGCCAACTCGTTTTCGGCCAATATTCTCATACATTATATCAGGTAAGGATTCGTTTTGTGCTCCATAAAAAAGTCTAAGGACATCCAACTTATAAAAAGTAAAAAAGGTAGACCACTGAACATGTCTAAGCATGTCCTCTGATGGCATATCCTTAGGTAATTTGTAGATTACAGATGCTGCTCTGCAGTGAGGCCTTTCTATTGACTTAAAAAGATCAGAATTGCCACTCAAACCCCACAAAACTAAACCACACTTAACAGCTGGAAGAATCACTTTAAAATAAAAGTCTTTTAAAATTGCTCTAGGCTAAAAACCAGAACGTTTAAGTAAATCTAGTTTTTTGGCAAAACTCTTCTTTGTTTCAAGCACGTTGGCCACCCAGGTGAGTTTCTGGTCTACTATCAGACCTAACAATTTTATCTTGGTAACCAAACTTAACACTGAGTCTCCTAGGTATAAAGGAGCAATAGGCCTCATCGATGTCCTTTTGCTAAAAAGAATAACCTCCCTCCTTCTGGGATGTGGCGTTAGTTGGTTGTTTAAACACCAGTTGTAAAACTCTCCCAAAGCTTTATTCAGTTGATCGATCACCAGATCTATTGTTTCTCCAACACAGTATATGGTAGTATCACCAGCATACATATAAACCGACCCAGAAGGCACAGAAGAAGGTAAGTCATTCGTGAACACAAACAATGTTGGTTCTAAAACCGATGCTTGCGGGATCCCCATTGATACAGGTAACAAATCCAACTTTACAAAATTTAGCATGGTACATTGTACTGTTGTGTATGAGTAGTAATCCGGGGAAAGTTTGAAGGATGATAATGACCAGTGATACAACGAGATGCAATGGGAAAAACGTGATGATTAAAGTTTACATTAATAAGACCAGATCAGATTTTAAAAAGTAAAATTAAGTCAGAAGATTCCCTTCTGTATTCAAGTGGCAGAAGTTTAAGTTTGATCAGACGCTCAGAGTAGGGGTAAGCATCTCTATTAGGATAGTTCATGATAAACCTGGTGGCTCACCGTTGTATATTCTCTAGTAGCCTATGACGTTTAGCAGTGTAAGGAGACCATAACCACGAGGCGTATTCTAAAATAGGGTAGACTAGTGTAGTGTACATCAGTTTTCTAGTAGTTTCGTCGATTATATCCCTTCCACACACTAGCTTAATAAGACCAAGGACTCTATTGGCTTTTGCACAGGCCTGCTCATTGTGTGTAGACCACAAGAGCAAGTCTGTGATGGTCACTCCCAAATCTCTTGTAGTAGAAGGAGAAGCTAATATTTCATCATTTAATCAATAAACACTCCTTAACAGAAAATTATAAATGTTAGGTTCATTCACAGAAAAACAAATTGCTTAAATGTTGTTTTTGACTAAGAACACTTCATGTCATTGCATTGAATGAATTAAAAGAAATAAAAACCCTAATTTCATTCAAAATATTTCTTGCTTATTTCCCTTGATTTTTTCATCCATCGCTGCCTCTGTCAAAAATCTTGTAATCACAGCTTTACAACACTTCAAAATGCCCTTACGATCTTTAGATAAGTTTTGTCAGACAAAATATAAATAAGAGTTAAACCCACGACACTAACAATCATTGCTTGATTCCATAGGAAGGATAGGAAGTTGTTAATTGTATGCGCTATGTAAATATTATCAGATGCATTCGATGGAAGCAATTAAATTCAAACTAGTTTAATTGACTAAAAGGAATGCCAGCTCAGAACGGGAACGAGAACGAGTTTGAAAGCAGTGCTGGTGAAGATGTATGTCAGGTGCTGATTGTATTTGAAATATAAAATACCCATAACGTAATTCTTTCCGCAAACAGGGGATCAGATCACATAAAAAACTATCTTTGTTACTTACACAGCTCAGCGATTGCTCCACACTCAAAGAGTAACGCGTCAAGTCTTCCTTTGAATTCCAATAACACGGAGACAGGATCCCTGTCTATCTTATTGTAACAAACAAATGACTTTCCAATCAACATTCTCTACAGCGTTTAAGAAGATTGTATTAGCTCTAGGAAATTGGAAAAGCCGGTAAAAGGAAAAACTGTTTATGATTCCACACTTCCCTGTCCGTCCGCCATCTTGTTTACTAATTTCGCAGACCAAATGTGATTGGCTTGTGAGAAGCCAGAGGTGAGAGGGGGACGGGGGAGGCCGGGAAGGGGACGGGGAAGGGGGGAGGGGAGGAATAAGGGAAAGGGAGGCTTTCGTTCACCCGATTCGCAAAATAGAGTTACATAGAGTACCAAAGCGAGAGTAAGAGCTGTTAGGTTTCGAGTGAAAACAGACGATACTAATCTAATTTGTGATTGGTTTTGAAAAAAAACCAGAAAAACTGCGATGGGAAACCAAGTGCTTGTTTATGAAGTTTCTTGTTTGATTATCTCATCGAATACATTAACCTAACCAAGCTACTGAGATAAACATGTTAAGTAATGCTGAACCAAGGCTTCTTAGTTTGCTTTTTCCCTGCTAAGTAGATGGTAACTAATGGATAAAAAGGACGTTACTGACGTATGGATCAAAGATGAACGTTTCCATTGTATCCTTCTCCATGTAGGGATAAATACAGCGCCGGATAATAAATACAAATTTATCTTTTGTAACGGACATCGCCTCAAACATCTCCACCAAAATGAATAACACAACGATCCTTTTCCCAGTGAGGGACTCAGCACAGAAGAAATTGTGGTTTTTGGATTGTTAGGGCTTCTCTTTGTATTTGGAAACAGTGTGAGCATTATAGTGTTCAGGAAAAGAAGGCTTTTTATGAAAGGTCATCGATTCTCTTGATAAATTTTAGTGTTGCTGATTTAGTTGTTGGCTTGGTTGTCATTTTTACAACAATCGTGCACAATCTTTTTCTGCAACATGACAGTACTGGCGTTAAGAATATCCCATTGACGATCATCATCCCATTTGACGTGTTTGTTGGGTTAAGTTCAGTCCTCTTCCTCACCGCAATTGCAGGGGAGAAAACCCACGCCATACTCCGACCTCTTCGCCACGTCACCACAGCAACACGGTCTTACGTCATTCTCATCTCCATTGTGTGGGTCTGGACATGTTTTCTATCCTTTTTTGTGTTGCTTTCCTGGTGTGAATACCTGATCTTTGTTACAACTGAAGTTCTACTGTGGTATCTGTATTTATTGGACTGGCCCTCCTTGTCACCTGCGTCTCTTACAGTGACTACAATTTGGATAAAATTTGATCAAAGAAACTTTGTCCCTCGAAGCCCAGAGACAATACAGAGCAAAAAACTGATTGTAACACTTTTTCTCGTTACAGCTATCTCTCTGATATCATGGCTACCATTTTACATAATTTTGATGATAGAGCATCTTTTCCTTGACACATCGCTATCTGATAGTGCAATAGTGGTGATTCGATTTCTTCAGTATGGATATTCTCTTGTTAACCCAATCACTTACAACCTTAAATTGCCTGAATTCCGAAAAACCCTGGTGCGGTTGCTTTGTGGATGTGCTCTAAAAGATCGTCCAAGTTTCAGATTTCAATTTAAGTCCATCAAAAGATTTTAGAAGTTTCAAAGGCCTATAATAGTACATCACGATGGGAACTTCCATGTTAAGTCGAATAGTAAGCGGCTTCACATTACAGTTTAATTTTTTGGCTTAAACAGGACAACTCCAAAGGTAGAATATCTATAAAAAGTTTAAACCATGCGCTAAAAGACAAGAAAAAAACAGAAGAAACAACTTATTTTATAAGAATTTATTTTACACTGAGTAAATAACTTTAATAAGTATTGCTCCATCTATCTCAGTAAGTCAGCAAGTTCAGTCCTAAACTTACACGAGACAAAGTTTACTGGACTGAGGAAGTTAACATATATTTTCAAATGTCATTGAAACAAATTAAATCTTTTAGCATTAGAAATATATTCAGCTGAACTAAACTTTACTATAAAATTATGCTTTGTAAAATCTAATCTAATGTAGGTGAAAGTAGTTGTATAATTGTAAAATTCTGATTAAAATACATTTGACTTTTTTGGCAAATATTTCTCTTGTTGGATCATTATCACGGAGTGTCCAACATCAAGTTGATAGATCAGATATCGATTGTGTATGAACTACTAGCATTCAACGCCCAAATGAACGACTGCATTATGCTTATTTTTTATCCTCTCCGCTGACCTTCAAAACTAAAACTCAACTCTTGAAATTACAATTCCGACCTCAGTGAAAGAGGGCTCTGCAAACACCAACTCTACAAACACAACTCTACAAACAGCAACTCTAAAAACACCACCTGTACAAACACCAACTCTACAAACACCAACTCTACAAACACCAACTCTACAAACACCAACTCTACAAACACCAACTCTACAAACACCAAGTCTACAAACACCAACCAGAGTGGTTGCTGCTACTCACGTTATTAATCCCTCTGAACCTCGACTCATGAAATCTACTTTCAATGAGAAATAATCTTCCAAAAGTTTTGATTTTAAAGGTCGCAAGGCAGTAAAATTAAAAAAAAAACTTTATTGTTGTCAGTGAAACAATTTAATGATTATGTCTCCTAAAAAGACCAACTATGTACATAAAAAGCCTAAAAAGTTAGAACTTTAGAATTCCCCACCAATGGATGTACAACAAATTATGCCAAAGCTACATCCCCTAACTCATTATATGATGGTAAATAAGATGTGAATATCTGCTTACGCTTTTCGTTTACGAATAAAATCGCGTAAAATAGCATAATAGTCAAAGGTCAGCTTCGTTTACTTATTACCTTCAGGGAAGAGCGAGTATCATGATTTTGAAACAGATTCGAGATATCTTTGATATTACCTTATTTAGTTTTTGTTATTTAATTATCAAATAACACTCTCTTCCAATCAGATTCAAATTTAAAAATCCAATCGTGCCTTTAATTGTTGTTTGCATTTTCTCTCGCTTGAAGCCGAATTATTGTGTATTCTTCGAGTCATCACTGGTTGATTTTTCTAATTGTTTTTTTCTGATAAGCCCGGTTAAGAATGTTTGGTTCAATCGAAAGACCTCTAAACACGAAAATTTGGAAACTATGTACCACCTCCGGAACTCTATACAACTTTCTCAGAGCTGCAGTTGCGTAGACAACCGTAAACGAAAGATCCGTGGATTAATTTGGAATAATCTCTGTTTCAAAGACTTTGAACGCGTGCAAAAAAAGCCCTAGACGGTAAGGTATGGCAGTAGCCTCAAAACATCAGCTCAGCAACAAGCTTTACGCTTAAATAGGTCTATAGGTCTCTATCTCTTAACTGAGGACTGGACATGAAAAGCACTGTACTAAAAAATAACCCAGGAAATTTATACCAGCGCCTAGATAATATTATTAGCTTCAATGAGATGCATGTCGTTTAAGCCAGCCAATGTGATTTTAAATCTTAAGAGGGTACAAAATAATATATTTCCATTAATGTTACTTACAAGAACATAGAGGGAACATTGGTATCAATGGACTGCATTGAAACCATGTTGTCGATTCCGTTTTCCTTATAGCCCAGGGGAGGGTTACTCGGTGCTCTTTCTTCACAGCAACAACAAAAAATGCGCCTGACTCCTTTCCTGAAATCTTTCACACGCAGAGCATAAATAATAGGGTTTACAACTGAGTTAAAATAATGAAGGAACTTTGTGGCGAATATTGCGTGATAGAGACAGGCAAAGTCACCTGGGCTACATGAAAGAGTTGCACCCGGCTGAAAGTGAAAAATGTAATTCATCACTTTAAAGGGCAGCCACGTGACTAAAAAAATCAGGCTCAAGATCAGGAGAGTAACCGCCATCCTCCTCTGAAAGTCATCGCTTTTATCGCGTGCACCCAGTAAAATGCAGGCGATTACAGAATAAGCGACCACAATGGTTATCATTGATAACGCAAGTAAAATCATGATAAACAGGAATACTCCCTCATTATTTGCCGCGCCGACATGCTCCACTCGGAGAAACGACAAAACGCCGAGTAGCACCGATAAAAGCCAGATCGAGGTGATTACAATATAGTAAACGATAGGTTTCAAGTTATCATGCCCGACGGGAGACAAAGCTGCGTAAAGCCTCTCCAAAGCAATAGCGACGAGGAAGAAAATCGAGGCATACGAGACAAATATCTCGATGGCGGTCTGAGCGGGTTGCACGTGGTCGTCCACTTCCCACCAATCGGTGACTGATCCACCAATGTAATGAATGAACATCGGTATCGCCACCGCACCCACCAGGAGGTCTGCTACTGCCAGACTCATAAGCAACAGATAGGTTTTCCTGTGTAGGGATTTGGTGACGGCGAAGGCAGCAATAATAAGGAAATTCCCGATAATAATTGCCGCCGACTCTAAGCCGTAGACAATGCACCAGGCACGGTTTTCTCCTTCTGAAAATAGTGTGGTCATCTTGATTTCCTCGTCAGTGAAGAGAATGTGACCTTAAATGGTATGATAGAAAAAGTAATGCAGCAATAATTAATGGAGTATCGACAGCTATTGGAGACTTTGTTGGGTTTTCTTTACCTCACTTTGTTCTATAGAGCCTTAAAAAGTATTGAACTCCTTCC